TATTCATACAACAATCTACCATAATCTACTTCTGTAGAGATACTGCCAAGGAGGGGTCGCAATGAGTTGGATCCAACTCAACAGCAGTGAGTTGGGTTGAATTTTTAGATGCATACAACAGAGTTATTATTTAACCATAAAAAAGAATGAAGTACTGATACATGCTTCAACATAAGTTTCACTTTGAAAACAATGTGTTAAGTGAAAGAAACCAGTCACAAAAGATAACATACTACATATATGACTTCATATATATGGAATGTCCAGAATAAGAAAATCTACATAGAGAGACGGTAGATTAGGGATTGCCTAGGACTAGGGCGAGTACTAGTGGAAAAAAGGGAGTGATTAACAGGATAAGGTGATAAAATGTTTATTGTGGTGATGGTTGTACAACACTGTGAATATACTGTTGTTAGGTGCTGTCGAGTTCGCTCCATTGGCTCCAACTCATAATGACCCTACACACAACAGAACAAAACACTGCCTGGTCCTGGGCCAATCTCACAATTGTTGCTACGTCTGACCTCATTGTTCCAGCCACTGTGTCAATTCTTCTCATTTTTGCTGACCCTCTACTTCTACATCTATTACTATGATATCCTTCTCCAGAGACTGGTATATTTAGTGACTATACTAAGCACCATTAAACTGTATGCTATAAGTAGGTGAGTTGTATAATTTGTGAATTCTCTCTCAATAAAGCTGTTAAAAAAAAAAAAAAGAAAGAAAAAGGGGCTTTAATGTAGTTTCATTAATCTATTTTGGTTTTCAAATACCTTCTAGGTTTTTTTAACCTCCAAAAGGACACATAAGAGGAAAACTTCCTACTTGCTTAGTCTTATCAGCTTAATTGAATCTTAAGAACACATGGTCCACAAGAAAAGAAAGAAATATATATTAAACGATCACGTTGTTGTTAGCTGCTACTGAGTGGATTCCAACTCATGGTGATTCCACGTGTGCAGAGTAAAACTGCTCCACAAGGCTTTCAAGGCTGTGTGACCTTTTGGAAGCAGACTGCCAGGTCTGTCTTCCGGAGTGCCTCTGGGTGGATTCAAACCACCAACCTTTCAGATAGCAGTAAAGTGCTTAACCATTTGCAGACCTGGGGACTCCTAAATGATCACAGTAGTTCGATAAAGTCAGACATCTGGTAAGTTGAGGTCAAGTGAAAAATAGATTAAAAAACAAAACAAGAACACTCACATCCCCAGATTTTCATAAAGCCACTAGTGGGTCAAAAAATATGAGCAAGATAATATTCTGCCATGTAAACTTAGTGTTAATATTCCATAACTTACATTGTACTACTACTCAAGCTCAACTTTGTAGTAAAGTTATTAAAACAGTTTAGGAAACTGTTTTATATCACACAGTAAACAACTTTTAAAGTATTTCTAAAGATATTTCAATGACAAGGAAAAATGTTCATGTTATACTACTACATGAAAAACTCATAAAACTGCATCAAGTATTCTATAACATATGTGAACACAAAAAACTCACTGCCATCGAGTTGATTCTGACTCAGAGACACCCACTGGGTTTTCAAGGGGGTAAATCTTTACAGAAATAGATAGCCCCATCTTACTTCGACAGAGTGGCTGGTAGGTTTGAACCACCAACTTTCTGGTTAGCAATCAAATGCCTTAGGCACTGTGCCACTAGAGCTCCTTTGTGAACACAAAAGTATATCAAAATTTTAAAAAAGGTTATCTCTGGATTGTGGGGTTATGGAGGACTTTCACCCCCCTCTCTATTTCACTAATATTCAAGTTTTTTACAATAAGCATGCCTTACTTTCATAATCAGAAAAAAGCAAATCCCAGATACACACAGTTATATATTTATTTCCCTATATATAAAGGCATTTATTAATCATCATCAACCGAGAGAGACCACATTTTTAACAGTTGGGTCAAGTCTAGTTTGGAAGTTGGTGGATGGGAACAGAAATGGCACTATCCCAATCACTGGTGAGTTTTTCCTACAAACCTCCTCCCAAATACACCAGTTTTTACTTATCCCATTTCATCTGTTCCAAAATAAATTCAGAATTTATAGTCTGAAAAATGTTCCTCAGGTGATAATCCCGTTCCCATCCTAACTCCTTAGAGAATCACTGATCTAAATAAAAAGTGTTCACGGGATTTTCCAGGATACCCATATGAACTAGTTTCAATATAAAGAATCAGTCAGAGGACTATGATAACCCAGAATAGTATGGTAGCAGGATCACTATAGAGGTAAAGTGGTATGGTATGTCTTTTAACTTTTAGTTCTAAGTAAAAATTAACCCCCCAAAACATACTTAAGTATATAGTTTTACATTAACAACATAAAAATACTTTATTAAAATGTTCCAAATGCTCTTTGAAAATAGCACAGCAATGATAGGCAAAAAGTATGCTTACCTAAAATACAAAAGAAAATAATCAAGAATATGTTGTAGAAATACAATCAGCATTCTAAAATGAGATCATGTGCTGCTAATTTTTCCCCCTAATGTAGAGAAATTCTGGCCAAATCTTAACTTGTAATTTCATTTGAGACTTAAAAAACAAACAAAAAACCCTAACTCTAGATATTTATTCTATTAGATAGCTCTACAAAATACCATCATTTGAATTTGAGTTAAATTTGGTTAGCATTTAACACCACTGAAAATCAAGGCACTAAAACAACTGTCTTATTTGAAGACTATAAACAATTATTCACTAGAAAAATTAAGTATGCTTTGGATGTATCTTTGAAAGAGTGTAAATGGGGGGAGAGGGAGTGGCAGCAGGAGAGGTCTGGAGAACTTAAGAATCTCAAGGAGCTCAATATCAAACTAAATACGCTTGCCGAGAAATTAAGAACTAATGAACTCTTCACAAATGGGAACGTGCTGAACATACGAACACAAAGGAGTCTGGAAAAAGGCCAAGAATCACTTGTTTAGACTGAGAGCTCTTTGAGTGAAATTGTATCTTATCTTTAGATTCCTGATGCCTGGCACAGAGGTCAATAAATACTTGTTAACTTGAAAATGGAAAATGTGCCTGGACTAGAATTATTACCAAAAAAAGACTGTCCAAAAAGAGAGCAGAACTTTAATTTATACATACAAAAACAAATGAAATCACTTAGGCTACTTTTCCCACTATTTTTTTTTTTCCATCAGTAACTTAAGGTTCCAGTTCAAACATTTAAAAATCCATAGATATGCTTTTTTTATGCCTTAAAGTATATAAATGTATACAAATATTTAAAGTAAATAAACATGAAGAAGTTGATATACAAACATCAGATTGTAAAAATATTTAAGTCTACAAGCAAAGTTTAAAAGTTAAATGGTGGTAGGTCTAAACTTCCCCAAAGATTAAGAATATTAAAATTCCAAAAAACCTACTTTTCCCTCCCAGAACAATGCACAATTACAAACATTATACACTTTTTTTTCAAAACAAGTTTCTCACAGTTAAAGATCCAGCAAGATGTTCACAAATAAGTCCACAAAGTCTGAAGTAGTCAACACTGACTGCAGGCACTAGGGGGCCTCCCAGGGAAAACTTCATAGTAAAGGAAAAGGTAAAGAAGAGTTCCTGGTAAAACTTTGCTTCCTATTCAGCCTTAGACTGTTGGAAGGTTTTCACATCTGGAGTGAATAACTGTATTTAGTTACACAACGGGTACACACAGAACTGATGTTTTAGATACTGACATATAGTTGGAAAAAAAGGAACTAATATCTTCTTTGGCGAGTTTCCAAAAAAGTACGTACTGCTACAGTGTAGTGATTTTAAATCATTATCTCCAGAAAATATAAAAGCAAATAGTAGTTTATATATATACAATTCTTTGACTGTACATGATTTTAAATCATTATCTCCAGAAAATATGAAAGCAAATAGCAGTCAATACATATACAATTCTTTGACTGTACCTGACGAAGAAGACTCTAAATTTTAAAAAGGCTTACTTTTTTCCTCTTTGACACACTCACACAGCAATTAGTGATGACGCAAACTTTAGGGAACAGAGACTCATTGGCAAAAGACTGCAATTAATTTCGAAAATTTTCCTGCAATAAATCAGTATGTTCAACTCCCTCTCCAGTTCTTCCCTATTCCCCAGCCGCCACCTCCGCCCCCAATTCTCCCACCAACATAAAACTATGCAATAAAAACTGTCAGGGCCCAGAAACTTAAAATACCGAGGCGACTTGTAAATTACCTTTCAAACACACCAGAAGCTTTACAACAGACCTTAACTAACTTTGTTCAAAATTAAATTCCACTTAAACCTGTTAAATTCTCAAACCCAAACACCAATCCCTTCAGCAAACATATCTTCTTTTCGGATTTTTTGCCTGAATCTTCAATCCGATCAAAGAGTTTTATCTATTTTAAAAAAACTAAATAATGTAGGTATTCAGTTTCCGTTAATTTTACCTTCTCCTTAAAAAGAGTTCACTCTATAATATCATATGACAATACTGAACGGCAGATTAAACAATCATATTAAAGAGGTTTTCATGAAATTCACATCAGGAACAACAATTTGAGGCAGCAAAGGCCAATGTCCAAAGCGAACAGGGAATACACACTCCACGTACACGCATCCTTGCACCCTCCTTGGAAAGGGTCACCTGAGACGAACACAACAGCGAGGAGAACCCAGCACCCCCTTCTTAAATGCGATCTCCCCACAGACAGGCTCTTCATAACCCCAGACCAGCACGCCTCGGTCCCGAATAAAATAATCCCCTAAGCGTGACCCAGTGACCCGCAGGGCACAGCTTCCCTCCAGCCCGACTTCTCGGAGGCCGCTCCCCGAACCAACAAGCCTCCTTGCCCCCTCCTCCGCTCGTTCGCACCGTTTTCCTTCGGAGACGCTTCTCACAGAGTGGAAAAAAAGGGTCCCCTCCGGATTCGGCAGTAGAAGGGGAACCGTGGAGATGAGAAGGGTTGCCCCCTCCCTCCATCCCCGACTGGCCTGGGTTCCGCACTCACCCTCCAGCAATCGGGTGATGAGACTGTCCACGTTCAGCTCCCCGTCCGCCATTTTGTCGGCACCAGACTCTGCTTCCCGGCAGCGGGAACAAGGGCTTCTCGGCGGCGGAGGCTGCGGCGACGGCTCGGCGTTCTCTCACCTAAAAGTCACGCGGCGTTTCGACCCCCGTTCCAGCTCCCCCCTTTCCCGGGCCCTCCCCCCACCCCCTCCCCACGAAGCAGTGAGAGCGCGCGCACACTCCCAGGTTCACGAAATAAATAAATAAATAGACGGGGCCCCACAAACCGGGCCGAGTCAGACCCAGGCCAGCACCTCCTCCTCGGCACCGCCCAACTCCGCAAAGCTCACCAGCGCCGCCACGGCCCCACCCGCAGCGCCAAACCCGCCACCGCGCCACGCAGCTCTCCGCGCAGGCGCTGCGCGGCGCGGCGCGGCGCGCACTCCTTCGCGGCCCCCCCACGCCCCGCCTCTTCGGCCTCTGCGCAATCGCACTGCTCCTAATTCGCCCACGGCCGCCGTCACCGCCGCCTTAGCGCAGGTGCGTCGCCCGTTCCCTCCACTTCCACTGCGCCGAATCACCGCGACTGCGCAAACGCTTCGGAAGGGCTGGGCTTTTGCTACGCCGAGGAAGCTCCCATTACGCAGGGCGCGCGTAGGGGTGTTGCCGTTCGCCTGGTCCTTCCCGCCCCTACGGTTTTTCGTGGCTCACGCAGACGCTGTGGTTGTGTCCTGCCAGCATTTCTCTTCGTTGCTTGGCTTCATTCCCCGGTTTTGAAGCAATTTCTCGTGTGTCCGTTAACCAGGAAGCGTTGAATGCACTTACCCATGTTTGAAACCCTGCACTTTGCGCGTGTGGGAAGCAGGGAGGTGTTCCTCTACTGGAAAAGTTTAACATTGTAAACAAGGGGTTTTGGTACACCACTGTTTCGCAAGGCTAGGTTCCAAAGGGCCCCTAGATGAAGTAAATGTTAAAGTGGGTATTGGAAGGATCAACAGTAAGAATGTTTTAAATGAATATCGCTTTTACATCTCCATCACTATGTGGATACTATTTTTCCACAATGCTTTTTTTGTTCACACTTCAATTAATTTTTTTAATCACCTTGCATCGTAAATGATACACATTTATCTCCCATACTCGACAGTAAGCTCCTAGAAAGTAAAAACTTAACATCTTTACGTCTGACACATAGGAAAAAGGGAGAGGAGAAATACGGAGGCTTAGAAATACTGGCTATCTAGTTGTTTCCACCACATCAGACTGCCTCTGGAAAGGCAGGACGAAGAGTAGCCAGCCACGTAACTGATCTAGGCAAGCCAGAGTTCTTGGCCTGTTCTAAGAAATGGCCAGACCAAAGGCTCATTTCTCGGGTGTTTTTTCCAAATTTCAGACAGGTGCTGCTCTAAGCACAAGGCAATGCTTTTCCCACACACACATCACTAATAATAACTAACACGTATTGAGATCGCTGTGTGCTTGTTATTGTTTTAAGCGTTGTACACATTTAATTCTTACAACCATATACTTCCTTGGGTTTCCGAAGAAGTATCATTCACTACGGAAGTATATTGCCCTCTCTTTCTTCTGAGGAGTGGCTGGTGGGTTTGAACCGCCAGCCATCTGGTTAGCAGTCAAATGCCTTAGGCACTACACCACCAGAGC